AGATCTATATGTTTTTTTCTCTGATAAGGTAAGCCTTGAGATCTCTACACTTTGTTGTCGATCACTTAGATAAGTTTCAATCCACTGTAACGCTTTTCCCCTAACACCATAGCGATTCAATTTAAAGAGAAGTAACTTGTGATTCACGAAGTCAAAAGCTTTTGACATATCGAGAAATATTGATGCTATTGGTCTTTTGTCATTTAAACTTGAAGTAATCATCTTTATAAGAGTAAAACATGCTAGAGTTGTTGACTTGTTCTTTCGGAAGCCGAATTGTTCATCTTTTAAAATTGAATGTTTTTTTATAAAAGAGTGGAGTTTATTATACATAACTCTTTCAAAAATCTTAGAAATGACTGGTATTAGAGTAATCGGTCGATAATTATTCAAGTCATGTTTATCTCCCTTTTTAAACAACGGTTTGACGATAGATAGCTTCAATCTTTTGGGGAAAACACCTTCGAACAGTGATAAATTAATAATGTGGGCGAGTGGCTGAGATATAGATTTGGAGCAATGCTTAAGGATTTTTGTATTGATATCATCATATCCTGTAGAGTTAGTGGAGTTTAATGAATTAATAATTTTGTACACAGTATCTTCGTTAGTCGGGGTCAGGAATATGCTATCTGATATATTGTTGATGGTATATTTGTAATCAATACGTTTTTGTGAGTTCTGAATGTTTGAGTTAGTTAAGTCTATAAAAAAATTATTGAATTTATTAGCAATTTCATTAGCATCAGTGTATGTGCACTGATCAGTTTTTACACAGGTGATTTCATCTTTGGTATCTAGATCAATATTATTATTTTTAATGATATTCCAAGCAGCTTTACATTTATTATTTGATTTTATTAAGTAACGTGTATTATCAATTTTCTGAGCGTGTAATATACATCGTCTAAGTATTTTAGTGTAATTTTCGTAGTTTTTGAGGTTTTTGTTTTTATTAGAATTTAGTAATCTATATTTTAGGTACATACTACGTTTTTTGACACAGCACCTTTTTATTCCTTTTGTTATCCATTTATTTTTTACCGGTTTATTTATAATTTTTACTTTAAGAATGGGAAAACAAAGATTATAGAAAAGGGACAATGTATCATGAAAGTGATTGAATGCTGTGTCAGTATCATCTGATTAGTATACTTCTGTAAAAGAAAGGGCTGAAATGCAAGACATGAACTTTTTTATGTTGTCAAGACTTAAATCTCTTCTCTCTATAAACCAAAATTGTTAACCTAATGTTGTGCGATCTACAGACGATTGGAAAGATATGGTCTGACCGGTTTCGTGGTCAGATAATGCAAGCATGTGTATTTGAGATTGGACATTGGGTAAATTACTTGCGATAAGATCTATACATGATGATTTTCTTACTAATTATATGCACCCTTGTGACTATTATCACTATGCATCTCTCACGAAGTTGTAAGGTTGCGAATTTGACCCTTAGTTGTAACTATGTCATATAGTTTTTGAAGGACGTCGTATGAAAAACTCTGGTATTGTAAATCTAGACTAACGGTCTATTTCTTAACAAAGACCAATATGTAGACTGTACAGTGTGTTTTACAAAACAAATGTTCCATAAACAAAACCAAATGAAGTAAATACTTCATTCCCCTAAAACTCTTTCTACCTCTAGATATCGACAACATTCTTCTGCCATCAGTCTGTCAGAAGTTGTCAAATGTCTGCATCAGCTGTATTATCAGCTGTTATATCATTGCATTATTTCCACTGTGTTCCAGGAATTAAACGTGAGTCCAAATGTGGGGCAGGTGTACATGACCAATGGCTGAGAGGAAGTGGCGGCACCTCGTGAAGATCGCGACCAGGAGGCGCAGGTTTGAGCCTGAACGAGTGGCCAGTGATACTAGTCTTAGAAGGTGAGGGTTTTTAGGATTTGCAACATGATTCACAATAACTATTGAATTTAATCCTTCCCCATTTATGACTCCCTTAACTATTATTATTGATACCATCCCCTAAATTCAGAAAAGCAAAGAGTAAGTTACGTAATGAGGATAAGAAGTGAAAGTGAAATCTTTTGGGGATTGAAAGGCTTGATATTATGGTATGGTTTGAGAACCTCTGTTATTACTTTCTTTCTAATATCAAGTGACCTTCTTTGCGATTATCATCTTTAAACCTGTTAATGAAGCGAAAGAGGTATGTAAGAATCGTAGTAATTGGCGTTCCTTAGTCTCTGCCTACCCCCATGGGAGACAGGCGTGAAGTTAGTATGTATGTATGTAACCTTATGGTCCTCAGAATGCAACGAGGTATTCTATAAAAATAATATTGGATACAAGCCCTTAAAAGCTCATATTGTTAAAGTTTCAAATCATTAATCATATAATTGTGTGCTTTCTTCAGATGTCTGAACTGTTGGGACCTGACATCGCTGGGAGTGGGCAGTACGTTAGGTATCGGCGTGTACGTGCTAGTGGGAGCAGTAGCTTTGAAGACAGCTGGACCTTCGATCCTACTGTCATTCCTCATCGCTGCAGTCACCTCGTTGTTCGCAGGTAAGATTGAAAAATTCACAATTGGGTAGTTTCCAGGGTAACAAAATTAAAAATCTAATTAGTCCGTCAGTTAGATAATGAAAAAATATTAGACAGGTTTGTTTTTATTTTCTCGTATAAAGTTACAATACTTAAATAAAATAGAGTTAAGTTTAGGAGTGGGAGGTGGTTACGTCACGACGTGCTACATTTTGTAGCACGCTGTGATGTCACACGACATTTCAAATCAATATATCGCAGAAAGCATTTAATTTTGTGAGAAAAAAATACGTGTCTAATTTTTTAAAATAATCTACCAGACGGACATTAAAATAAAGTTTAGGAAACTACTCTATTGTTTGTGTAGTTGGAATATTATCAAATATTATCAATGTCAGACTTTTATTCTAAAAACAACCTTTTCCATGCTAGTTCCTCGGTACCTATATAGTGGCCTACCTGTGACCCCGGCAACATTGAATTACATAAAGTTATCTATAAAGATATTACAATAATTTCAATAAACATAGATTACTAAAATATGGCGGCTTTTGCCAATGGTTGTGCAGATAGTGGATGATAAACTATGCATCAATGATTATACAATTATGACGATAAATTACTTACAAGTTGAGTTAAGTGGACCATTAAGGTCGTGGTAGAATACAAAAATAACTGAACTGAAGAAAAAATAAATGAAGCGAAATATGTTTCTTTACGAAATAACCCGGTAAACGAGCAGACGAATCACTGGGTGGTAAGCAATCGGCGCTGCCTATGGACACCTGAAACACCAGAGATTTTATAAGTGCGTTACCAGCCTTTTGGGAATTAGAAATTTGAGGATTGTTGGGGATTCAGGGATTGGGGAGAGGATAATTGGGCCTAAATGAATGATGAAGAGATAAGAGTTTCTCAAAACTAACAACAAAACGGTAATGAGGTGACCTTACAACCATCTTAATAAGGAATAATAATAATAATAATAATAATAAATAATCTTTATTGTACACCAATTTGAGACAGTACATCAAGGAACAAATAAAGAAAATAGGGTACAAAGGCGGCCTTATCGCTAAAAGCGATATCTACCAGGCAACCTTTGGGTGGATAGAATAATAAAGTAGGATATTAAATGAGGTAGTTATAGCTTGGCGTACTCAGTGCTTATTTATATAATGTAAAAGAGTAAACATTAAAAAACAAATTTATTTACTTTTAATATAGAATTATATACTTACATACACACACATACATACATACATACATACATACATACATACATACATACATACATACATACATACATACATACATACATAC